CTTTTTAAGACAGAGAACTCTGTCACTCCGGGGAGAGTGCTGTGGCATCATCATAGCTTACAGCAACCTCAAACTCTTGGGCTCAAGCGATCCTCTTGCCTCAGCCTCCCAAGTAGCTGGGACTCCAGGTACCTGCCACAACACCTGGGTAGGTTTTTTTCTATTTTTGAGTAGAGATGGTGTCTCACTCTTCTTCAGGCTGGTCTGGAACTCCTGAGCTCAAGCAATCAATCCACCCGCCTCGGCCTGCTAGGATTACAGGCGGGAGCCACAGCACCTGGCCACACAAACACTTTTGTATGAAGAACCATTGAACCTTTGGAGACATCAACTCACAACTGGCCCGTGTTTTCATCACTTTTTTCTCTCTTTTTCCCTCTGCTGACTCTGTGAAATGAAATATTTTGCTGTCCTATCTCTAGGTGCACCACTAGTTTCTCAAACCACACTCACAAAGCTACTCATGATCCTTTACAGAAACATCAAGGACAATGAAGCCTAGAGAAGTCCCCTCTGTGGGGAGAGGGGAGCAGCTGGGGCAGTAAATGCGACTTCCCTTCCCTCATCATCTCACCCCATTTCGTTCCTTCAGCAGTCACCTGCCCCAGAGGGATAAGGATGTTACAACAAACCTGCTTAATACATCACGGCCTCAAATTTCCTGCATCATATGTAGCTTCCAAAGAGAGGAAAAAGACACCAGACATGAGTGAATCCAGAAAGAGCACTGGCCAGAGCTTCAGTGGGGGAGGGGATGTCCCTCAGTGTACGGTTTCCCCACTGTGATGGTTAGTGTCACACGTCAACTCGGCTAGGCTATGGTGCCAGTCGTTTGGTCAAACACTACTGTAGATGTTGCAGGGAAGGTATTTGTGGATGTGATTAACATTTACAATCAGGAGACTTTAAGTAAAGCATATACCCCTCCACAATGGGGGCAGGCTTCATCCAATCGGTTGAAGGCCTTAAGAGCGAAGACCGAGGCTCAGGCCTCCCAAGGAAGAAACTACTCGGCCCAAAGACTGCAACATAGAAACCCCGCCTGAGCTCTCAGCATGCCGGCCAGCCTGCAGATTTCAGACTCAAGACTGCAACATCAATTCTTATTTGGATTTCCAATCACACAGCCTACCCTCTGGATTTCGGACTGGCCCATACCTGCAATCCCACGAGCCAACTCCTTAAGATAAATCAATCTCCTGATAGAGAGAGAGAAAGGGAGAGAGAGTTGTATAGATGTATAGATAGCCTATTGGTTCTTTTCCTCTCAAGAAAATCCTGATTAATATTTCCACAACATACCACATCTTTCCAATCCAAAAACATTTACCAAGTAACCATATTATCACATGCCTGGTAATCTGTACTAAAACCAGGGTTATAGAAAACAACATTTGTGTATTTGGTGCCTTCCACATGCCAGGTAATGTGAGCTAGGAGTCTTACATCCCTTATCTCACGTAGGTCTCCCAGCAAACCTCTCAAGTAGGTAGAGTTATTGTCATTTTACCGATGAGGAATTTGAGGCTTAAGGAGAAAGACTTCACTGCCAGGGTCCATGTTGCAAGCTAGTGTGAGTGAACACTCTGGGATCTGAAACAGAGGGAGAGGAGTTTGGAGAGACAAGGTGGGACCAGGTCACAGAGAGCTTCCAATGCCACGTTTGAGGGCAGCAAAGAATCATGCACTCTGTGACTTGCACCGGGGCATCTTCCAAACTAGCAGCAGCCTCAACCTACCTGAGGACAGAACTGGAGCTGAAGTGACGTGTATTTGTGGCTTCCACATGCAGAAGCACACAGCGGAACGGCCAGCCTTCTGGGGGAAGAGGTCTTCAGTGCATGAGGGAAAACCTGAGAATGGTAGGGCAGAGAATGAAAGAGGCTCTAAGGCTGGCCAGAAAAATCTAATGAGATCGCTATGGGGCATGCAGCCTTGTAAAGGCTCCAAACTTTCTCCAAACTACCCCATGGCCTCACCAGTAGTTGTGACAAGAAGTTACCTGTCAGGCTCGTTTTTACAAACTTTCCTTGCATATCTCCTTACATACTCACAAGCATACCCCTCTTAGTTTGGTATCGTTAGCATTAACAGTAAAAAATCCATTTCGTGGGTGGCGAGGGTAATTTTCTCAAGACGATATGATTGCAAGCAGCAGAACTGGGCTGGAAGGAAGCCTGTCTAGAAGCACAGCTAGTGTCCTTAACCGCTAAGTTGTCTTGCTCCTTCCAAAAGCATCCCACAGTGCTCCCTGTAGCAGGAAGTCTGCTTTTGGCTATGAGTGAAGAGAAAACTCCTCCTCCATCAGGCCAAAACACAAAGCCAATTTGTCTTACAAAAGAAAGTCAGGGGGGAAGGGTGGGCCCAGGCACGGTACAATCTATGACCCACTGTTGCCCTCAAGGACCATCTCTCTGATCTGTGGTTTTCTGCTACATTTGCTCCAGAACACATCCAGGTATGGCAATATCCAAGTGTGGAAAGGCACTTTCCATTCCTGTAGCATTCCTGTGAGCAAGGAGGTATCCCAGCAGCCCCCCAGCTAACAGTTTCTTCCTTTGCCCATGGGCCAGCGCTAGGCCCCAGGCCCATTCCTCAATGAGTCTGGGACAAGTGGAATGGGGTGACCATGGTGATCTTAGATGAAAGGCTTGAAACTGGACAGGCTCCTTGCAAGACTTTCACCTCTTATTCACCCTCTGGACTTAGCTGAAACAGTATTTCCCCCCTTGAAAGCCTTCCCTGACCTCCTTCATCAGCCCCAAACAGGGGACCCTCCTTCAAGCTGCTATAACACCCTGCAGTTCCCCTGTCCCGGTCCCAGCCCCACCCAGCTGTCAATAGGTGGTTATCTGTCTGTCCCACTCACCAGCCCAGGAGCTGACGGTACACAGGAATTTCTGTCTGTCTTCTTCACCCATCATAGAGCCTTGATCCCAGTGGACACTCACAAACATCTATCAGATAAAAGGAGGAGAATCTGGGGCCCCTTGATAAATGTCTCACTTAGTCTGTCGGCCCCGCAGAATCCATATTTTCCCGTCTTGCAAAGGTGGACGTTCCTGCGTTGAGAGGTTAC